TCCTTTCACTTTCAAACTAGTTTTTAGTTGGCGCAGTTGATGTCTGTGCCATGGGTTAGATAAGTCAGATATAACCCAGTTCTCATCCCTCGAAATTTAATTTGACTTATATATCTCTCCTCAATTTAGATCTCCCAACTCCGCTGCCGCCGAATGCCTCAAACTCGTCACTGTCAATTCCCCGCCCTTTCAAAAATATTCACTACAACCATGGTATGTCTTATTCCTGGCCACTACCGTCTCAGAAGATCTCCTATTGCTCAATCGAATCTATTTCAAGTTATATTTCAACTGCGCGGCATGAAAAACCTCCACTTCGTAAACATCTCTGTCCCCCGGATCCCCACCAACTTCCCCACCGAGTTCCCACTGTCTTCTTGCCGCTGAAAGAAATTTTCAGCTTCAACCAGCCCTCATACGACCTCCCTGAACTCGAATATACCATTTGCTCGTCATCTTCAGCCCACCAACTTTGACCGAACAAATTGCCGCCAAACCCTCTAATTCAAGGTAACTACAATCTTGGTTACCTCCAACTGCTGCAACCTTGTTCAACTCCTTCCAATCGAGTTACGATTCCCATCCAACTGCCAATCACCGTCTCTCATCGCTCATTCGTCCTTTTCCTACCCAGTCCATGGTTTGACTTCCAAGTGCAATATTCAACCACCGCGCCTTATCTTCAACTTTAACTTGTCCAGGTCAGTTCGAGTCAAGTTTCATTCATTCGTGGCGTTCTGAACGTGTATTTTCAGACGATGAAGTTCCTCCATTCAACTTGAAGCCGTCCAAACTGCAACACTCCAATACATCCACCAGCGTAAACCATCTTCCACCTCGTCATCCCCCAGGCCCAGCTCGACTTTATCTCAGGCCTCGATCCAAAACGCATTCGAACACCTCCCATGTACTCATACAATGTCATTGGTACCCTAAAAGTTCGCCCTCTCCCTCTCCCTCAACCACTGACCTTGGATTCCTCCCGTTCAGAGACAGCGCCGCAAGATACTGGATATATGCGCCTTTTCCCAATACATTTGGTTGGTGACCACATAAAGCAATGTAAGCACACTTTCCCTATCTCTTTACCATCCTAACCGTGTACACTGACCTGTTGTGTCCTCAGCGGCGTGAATCCAGATATTTTTTATCTATTTTCACGCGGCCTTGATCTTACCGTCTGCCATGTAAGTTTTTTTATTTCTCGTCAGGTTGAGGCCCAATTATAGCAAAACATGGCTTTATTTTCTTGGTAGATGCACTTGAACCCCTGTAGACTTTTGCTTGGCCTCTAGGTATGAGTATTCTCTCACATCCAATTGGTTTCCTTGAACCAACACTAATTTTTCGTTCCCCGCAGTTTCAACTTCAATTATCATTCAATATGGACGCTGCGCATTGTCTACGAACTCGAGCATGCTATTTCAACTGGTTAGGCCTTCTTTTACATCTATATTCCCTGATAACCTCACACATTCTTCGGTCAACCTGGGTTTTCAGCACAAATTCAACCTCGCCCCCGATTCGAGAGTGGGTTCAGTTAGTTGTTGGAACCGGGTATATGTAACTTGCAGATTTCACCGCTAATTCGTCCATCTGATACCCAGATCTCCATCTTGACCGCCAACACCGCAATATTCAACCACCGCGCCCAATCTTCAACCTCCGTAACCTGTCTGTAACGTTGAACTTCCGAGGTAACTCCATATTAGTTTTCATTCCTTTGTATCTTTCTGAACGTCCATTCGCAGACTACAGCTATTCCTCATTGCATTTGGCCTCGTCCAACCGGCCCCGTCCCAACACGCCCGCCAAGGTAAACTTAGTTCAACTTCCGACCTTTCTCGGAACCCTTCTACTTCGTCTCAGATATTCATCCACAAGCATCCGAATACACCCACTGGACGAATACACTGTCCCTCGTACGCTAATCTTCCGCCCTCAGCCTTTCTTCCGATCACTGACCTCCGATTCCTCCCCTTCAGAGCACACCGCAAAAGGCTGAATATATGTGCCATTGTGTTAATATCTTTCGTCAACGACCACATAAATCGATGTAAGTACACTCTCCCCCCTTTTAATCATTCTCCCAACATGCACTAACGCAGTCTGCCCTCAGCGGCCTCAATCCGGGTGGTTTTGAACTAATGCCCACGTGCTGATCTCAAGTAAAGATATTTATTTTCGGTCATTCAAGGTTCACCTCACGCGCTTTAGGGCTTTATTCTATCCATTGGATGTTCACAAGCTATTTCTGGGATTTACCGAATATCCAGGTGCGAGTACTTTCTCAGGCACACTCAATTTCTTGAGCCGACGCTAATCCCTCGTTCTCGGCAGTTCAAACTTCCATTATGGCTCAATTTACATGCAGAACATTGCCCACGAACTCAAAGAGGTCAGGTGAACTGTACGAGCTCTCGTTTCCCTGTGGTTTATTCGGTAACCTTCCAGACAGCTCAGATTTTCAACTCACACTAAACCTCACGCCCGACTTAGTCGAGACTCGAGTCCTGTTGCGTCTTTCAGCGAAGATATTCCTACTAAGGACTTCCAATCCCTGTAACTTTTGTGTGTTCACTTTGTTTTTCACCCGGACTTTAATTTTGACCCGGCAGAATCGCGATGTTGGATCACCGTTTCAACCACCCGCCCGATCGGAACTATAATACCCAGGTGGGTCCGTAACCTAATTACCTCTGGTTTTTCCTACCAGCATTCGCAACCCGTATTCATTTCTCGTAGTTTCAACTCCTCAAACGGCGACATTCAACCCCATACTCCCAGGTAAGTAAACTCGGTTCAACCACGTTCAACCACCCGAACTCATTCAACTCTCACCCAGATATTCATCCAGAAGGCATTTAAACTGTCTCATTACACCAATCCATCCTTCCCTGCGTGTTCACCTCCTCCTTTCAACCTCTCCTCCAACCACTGACCCCAATTTCCAAGTCCTTCCTCGAGACATGCCTCAGGCCGCTCTCAAGATACCGACGCATATAAGTATATGCACCGCAAGGTCAACTCTCCACCTAAATACTAATATACGATACAATGCGATGCAAGTGCACTTCCCCCCTCTTTTAATCCCGCTCCCGAGGTACGAGTGGGTCAGCGGCTTGAACCCGGGTATTTTTGATGGAGGGTTGATCTCTGTATGCCGCGGCGTGACTACAGGTGAGCATATGTTGTTCGGGGCTCGAAGGGTTGAGGCTTGGATCGGTGTTGGAATCTCAACCCAAGACGCGGAGTTTGTATGTCGAGTACCAGTGAAAGATTTCGAAGTGCTGCGAGAAAAATCAAAATGCAAAGGCGTGCGAGCATTATTACACCCTCAGTAGGAATTGAACCTATGTCTCCTCCGAAATATGCTGAAAGAACATCATCTTTCCGTAGACTCGTTGTTCATGTTGTGGACCTAGCGAGTATAATAAGTCCCCCCCCCCTATACAGCGGAGGTGATTTAGCATTGATCCGTAGAGGCTCGTTCACTTTTGAACTGTCCTGCCTGAGTCAGGCAAACTTTGCGCTCCGGAAATTTGTTATAGGGTACCCGTTTAACATTGATTTGATTAGTATTGGATGACGAGATGGTGTTAGAGGAGCAGGAATGCAGTTACGAAGGCTGTGCAAATGTTGAACACAACAGAGTAAAGCCGCTACCCAGAGTTAGGCTGGCACTCTCAAAGCGCTAACAAAAAAAGACATCTAAGGTAAAATTCGAACTAGATCCCTAGTAGGAATTGAACCTACATCTCCTCCGAAACCTATGATCAAATGGGACTCGCAAACAATGTGGAGGCGATCTAGCACTGATCTATAGAGGCTTTATCCTGCAAGAAGTGGTTGCCTACAGTCGAAGAAAATGTGATTGATTCACCGCAGGAGGACCTTGCAACTTGCAGGAAGTTGACTACCAGTTCAATTGAACCATGGCTTTGAATCGGATGGAATGCGCAAGTCGGGTAATTCATGTCTGAAATGCAGAAGCCCCGAAATTTTGCATGTGGGCAGGAATTAATCAAAAAGGCAGAGGATCTGGGCATCGCACGCCCCCAGTGGGACTCGAACCTACATCTCCTCGGAAATAGTCATTAACGATCGCCACAGTGAACTGAGGTTATAGAGGCTTATTCCTCATTGAACCGAACTCAAATGAGCCTGGAGAATTTTGAGAGTGCTCCCGATAACGAAATATAACAGCCGTTGAATCTCCACTTGATCGGATGTTGAAAATCAACCAAGTGAGTGGCGAGGGTGCCACCAGTTCAGATCTAAGGGCCGTACATTCGTCAAACAAAACAGCTGCCTGGCAGCATGCACAGAGTGGGGTTGGCACCTTCAAACTCAGTTGCCAACACAAAAATACAGTTGGATTCAGACCAGGCCCCCAGTAGGAATTGAACCTACATCTCCTCCGAAACCTATGTTGCGCAAGAACACGATACAGAGGGGATCGAGCATTGATCTGTAGAGGCTTATCCTGGAAGAAGCGGTTGTCTATAGCGAAAGGAAAATGTAGCTCGTCACGAAGGATTTTACGACTTGAGGAAGTTTACCGTCAGTTAATTGAACCATGGTTTTGGATTGGATGGAACGCGCAAGCCGAGCAAGGTTTGAGATCCTGAGGTGCTGAAGGGCAGTACACAGAGGCAAAATAAAAAGGCGTAACCGTAGGCGGGAGAGGACTACGCCCCGAGTAGGATTCGAAACTACGTCTCCCCAAGTATGCTTGAGGGAACCGGTAACATGCAGCGGCGGTGATCTAACACTAGGCTTTTATCGACCTGGTCTTGAATCCTACTAGGTGGGAGTATAATTTGATTGGAGGGAGGAAGAGTGCCGCTGATGCGTGTTTATTCGCGGGCCAAAGGGTCGAGGCTTGGATGGGTGTTTGAATCTCAAGGACGCGCAAGTTTGCGCGCCGGGTACCATTGAATGTTTTGCTGTTTTCAAGTACCGAGAAAGAAAAAAAAAAGTTGAAAAGAGCATCCAAACGCCTCCAGTAGGACTCGAACCTACGTCTCCTGAACTTAGTGACGCCGCGGAGGTGATCTAACACTGATCTATGGAGGCTTATCAACATAGTGGTGAGGCCGAGTAGGTGGGAGTATAATTTGCTTGGAGGGTGGAAGAGTGCTGCGGCTCGAAGTGAATATAATTCGTGTTTATTCGGGCCGTGGCTTGGATGGGTGTTCGAATGTTGAATTGAGGGGCAAAGTTTGTGTGTTGAGCACTATTCCATGTTGCGAAATTATAAAGTACCGAGAAAAAAATGAAAAAGTGCAAGGGACATTATTAACGCCCCCAGTAGGAGTTGAACCTACGTCTCCTCGGAATTATCGTCGTGAAGGTAGTCATCCATGATGCTGAGGTGATCTAACAATGATCTATAGAGGCTTATTGGCCTGATGGTGAGGCTGAGTAGGTGGGAGTATAATTCGCCGGAGGGTGGAAGAGTAACGGAAGAGTGCCGCAGCTCGCGGTGAGTACAATTAGTGTTTATTCGCGGTTGTAGCTTGGACGGGGGGTTCGAATGTTGAATTGAGGCAACTCAACGCGTAAGTTTGCGTTTCGAGCACTATTCCATGTGTGAGATTCTAAAGGGCGGACAGAAAAATTAAAGCTCGCAGAGGCATTAAACGCCTCCAGTAGGACTCGAACTTACTTCTCCTCCGAAGTATGCCTGAACAGGGTGATGCAGCGGAGGTGATCTAGTATTGATCTATAGAGGCTTATCGACCTAGTGGTCAGGCTTACCAAGTGGGAGTATAATTTCATTTCGAGGTGGAAGAGTGCCGCTTGAGGTGAATATAATTCGTGTTTATTCGTGGGCTTGGATGAGTGTTCAAATGTTGAATTGAAGCGACGCAGAGTTTGTGCATTGCCGAGAGAAAAATTACAGCACAGATCACACTTAACGCCTCCAGTAGGACTCGAACCTACGTCTCCTCCGAATTATCCGTCATGCGCCACGCAGCGGAGGTGATTGAACATTATCTATAGAGGCTTGTTGACCTGGCGTTGAGGCCTACTAGGTGGGAGGTTTTGGCGTCAGAGAGAGCATGATGAGCCGGGATGATCTTGCGAGTTGAGATTCTGGAAGTTCCGAACTGGCGCATAATTCGAGCTACGGGCTGGTACGGCGGTTGAACGGCAAGTGTGATTATTTGAATGAGTGAAGGTTGAATGAGCACAGGTCGATTTAAGGTATTCATTCAACGCACGTTGTATTCTTGCGATGAATCCGCATCAAGTGACGGAGCGAGTCAAGGCATTGGGGTGTTACCCACTAGAACCAGCGGATCTTCCGAGCCTTGACACCGAGTTGCGCGCACGACGTTGACGAGCTTCAAGATCGCCGGCTTCAATCTAAAATAAAACCGAGAGATATTTTTTACGCCTCCAGGAAGTTGAACGGGTCGGCCTAATAACCGCGTGCAAATGCTCATTGGCTGAAATGCTAAACTTGACGGTGGTTGAAGCCCGCGGTATCGTGTCGCATCGCCCACAGCGCAGTCAATTTCCTAGCTTTAAACTTCGTCCTCAAGCAAGAACCCATTCGATATCTTCTTCCGGCGCCACGCGACAAATCAAACCGACGAAAAGATGAGAAAGCAATGTTGGTTTCACGTGGTGGATTTTGATTACAGTAAGCAGGGAGCGCGAGGTCGACGGAGAAGAGAGCACGAGGGGTCGAGGGCTGGTGCTTAGGCTTGAAGGCGTAGCTTGAACGAAGTACCAGGGGGCGGCCGCGCGAAGAAACCACTAGCAGCCAAGATGCACTTTGTTTGACGCGCTGAGACCCTTGTAATTGAGTTGGAATCTTGCCAAGCTGAATCCAAGTCAGGTTCAATTGAATGGAGTCGAGTTGAAGCCCGCATTGCCCCGAGCGCAACCAGCTACATTCAATAAGTAATTTGCTGTGGCGCGACACGAGGAATCAAGCCAACACCAAGATTAGCTGTTATTGGATTGGTTTGACGCGGCATTCAAGCAGGTAGCGTGAGGTGGATTAGAAGTTGTGTCGACGTTTTAATTCAGCGCCAGTTGAATCGCCGCCCTCTGTGGATCAGTTGAAGTGCGGGTGTTGCTGGTAGTAATCCCGCTGACTCACAAAACACGCGTCAACATCCTCTTAATTTCCCTCCTCAATGTCCTCCCTCAAACGCCCGCCCGCCCACCTCCCACACGATGACGACGATGACACCGATGACGACGACCACGCCATCGACCCCGAGCTGCGACTGCGCACCGTCCGCACAGCCCACTCTGCCATCGCAGAGAGCATTGTCGCAGATGCACGGCAGACGCGCAGGAGACGCACGTTCTTTCGAAGAAGGGGAAAGAGGACTCGGAGGGGAAAACGTTGTATTCTTGTCATGGATTCACGGGCGTGCTACACCGGCGGCATCAAGTGAGTGAGTCGGGGCATTGGAACGGCCCGTTGAACGCGTTAAAGCTCGCGATTATTTCGCGGGGCGCGGACTGCATGCAAATGGTAAACTGAGGAGGCACCACCACGCACCACGCATCCGTTTGTCGGACCCACGGGCCCACGGACCCAGGCGACCCGGGCCACGTCGAGCACACTTGTCGCGATATGGACATCGAGCAAACTGGCGGACGTCGAGCAGACTGCACGCCGTAATGGCGCCGATGAAACCCGCTTGCTCTAGGCCTTGCCGAAGCTGTACAACGATGGCAGCGCCACGGGGACATCGACGACCCCGACCTCAATCTCGTCTGCGCTGGGCGTTGAGTGAATACCCTTGCGTCTCGTCGAACTCTCCGCAGGCTGCTCGCGCCTACCCCGCGCACAGCACACGCGCGCCCCCGCTCCTCCTCGTCCTCAGCCGCCCGCAGCACCCCGACCGCACAATACACACGGGCGCACCCCTCGGCTAACTCGTCACCCTCCGCCAGTGCACATAACCGCGTAACGGCGGTGCCTGGTGGAACAAACTGCCTCATCTGCGGTGTCCCTCGACACACCGGCGTCACCCCCTTGGGAGGCCGGCGTATCCTTTGTCCAGGTCAGCTTCTGTCCTTTCCTTCGCTTTCCCTTCGTCTAGAATGCTAATTACTTCATCTACAGGAATTCGATTGACTTCGGCGTCCGCCCACCTACGCCAACTACGCCAAACGCCGAAGAACGCCGCGACGTCCCGCCTTGTCCTCGCACCGCGTCTTCGGGGGACACGGATACGGATACGGCGGCGCGCGAGCGAGCGCGGGTGGATGAGAAACAAGGGATGCGATTCGGCGGGTTTGGTGTTGGTGGGGCGGGAGGAGTATGTCGACTGTGAGGAGGTCGTGGCCGTTAATGGGTGGGTAATTATGATGTGATCGTGAAACTGAGCGGTGGGAAGGATTGCGGCCGCGAGAGGGACCGGGAGAGGAAGAAGGCGCAGGTGTATGTGCGCGTCCATATCTTTCTCTTCCGTTCTGTAACCTAGCACCGCTGTCACCGTACTCTGCAGATCTCCCGAGCGCCAGGAATCAAGCTCACCCGCGCGCTCACGATTGCTCGGCGCCCCGCGCAGATCCATGCAGCCCGCGGTGTGCTCGACCTCCAGGTCCCGCCCCGCCGTCCTGCTGCTCCGCTTCGCCGACGACACCGCGCGGACGAGCAGCTGCGGCAGCGGCGTCGACTGAGTTTGGGAAATTCAAGGCGGGTGGGGTTTATGGGAGTGTGTGTAGTGCGTTTCTCCTCCTTCCTCCTTCCTCCTTCCTTCCTCTCTCCGAAGCTGATACTTGCATTCGCAGGTGCAGTCCGTCTCGAGGCCTCGCGCATGCTCGACGGGCTGATTTTACAAGATCATGAGCAGGCGTATGCGGTGGGATGGGGTCCGCATCGATCTGCGGCTTCAGCGATGGGTTTATCGCTTGGGGCGACTCTGTGTGCGGAATGAGCTGTACCTTCGTCTCCGCTGCTCTGCTGCGCCGTCGCGTCAAGCTCCGTCAAGCTCATCCTCCCCGTACGTACGCGTACACTCCTCCTCCTTCCTCCGGGCGCGTCGCTTAAGTGCCCTTACCTCAGGGCTTCGTGGGCCTCTGCGGCGCCTTCCAAGTAGCGCCGCGCATACACCGTCCCCAACTCGGGCTCGTCCTTGTCCTTGTCCTTGCCAATGGCTCTGAGCTCGCCATGGACGCGGAGGTGTATGATGCACACAGTCTTGATCGAGGGCAGTACGGGCTGGACGTGTGGTGGGCCATGATACGGAGGCTCACGGTGATATCACAGGACGCCGAAGCTGTATAGAGGCGCGTTACCGCGCCTGCATGCTCGGAAGGAAAACTGACTAATCATTAGGTGCCGCTGTTTTCGCTGTTTCGGAATACGGCGCCGTGGGAGCAGTCGGGAGATGGGCGGTGGGCGTGGTGGCCACCGTGTATACGCGCTTCTTCTTGGGGAATGTGTTTGCTATGGTGCGTCCTCCTTCCTCTTGCCTTCCCCCATCTAGCTCTCAAGTACACGAAACTGAGTCCGCGCCCGCACAGGTTGCCGGTACCCTCTTCCAATCCAAGTGCCTTCCGGGCTCAGGGACGGCCGACTCCTCGCATACACGTCGAAGCACGCCGTGTAGTCGACGGCGTATCCCTCAGACGGCACTGCGGCTGACTGACCTCTGGGTTAGGGCTGCCCTTGGCGCTTGTGTATCCCATTCGGCCAAGGAGGGGGCTTCTCGTGGATATGGGGCTGTTTCTTGGGTAGGGGGGTGTGGGTGGGTTTGTGGGGGAGCGGGGGACGATATGGATGAATCACGAAGGACGCCTGGAATTTTTTCATGGCTAGATTAGCAAGGGCAGGACAACGAGCCGACATAGACGTAGATACATTTCCAATCGACTCTGTACCTAGAACGCGACACGACTGTCTTTCGCGGGAATTGTATTCCGCTTGGGCCATTCCATTTCAATTCGAGGATTTGATTCAGCTCAATGGAATGGGTTTGAATACATTTTATTATTATTGACGACATGCATGGCAATACCTCGCTCCGAGTCTCCACAAACGACAAAACGCAAGACGCTTCCGAAAAAAACTAAAGAAAGATCTTCCTTCGTTGATCGAACGAAGGGCGAGAAGGAACTCCGACAAAACTGCCGCGCACGCAATCTCGACATGTCATTCCCGCCGGCTTCACTCGCCTCCCGCTCCGCGCAGCATCCGGACCACTGTCCTCTGCTCCCTTCCTCCTCCACGCCAGAAACAGCGTCCCGATCCCACGACGCGGCGGACCGACGAGACCGCCTCCACTTCCTCCTCCCCAAACGCGAAAACAGCGACGAGCTCGAGAGCCCAGAAAGAGCAAACAACCTCCCCAAAGAATACAGAAAACACTCCGCACTCGCAAACCTGGCACTCACCTTAACTCCCTCCTCGGCCTTGCTTC